TCGATTGGCCGTGGCCATTACCAGTCCTGTGCAACCTGACCTGACCTGACCTGACCTAACCACCTTAGCTAACCGCTTTTTTCTATGCAACATATTGTTCACATCTGAAGCACAGTTCCAGTGTGCCCGAACGTGAAACCTTAACTTTCTAAGTACGAGTTTTGTTCACTTCAAAAGGATCTTAATTTGGACGTGACCAAAAAATATTTGGACTGAATGCTACGGGAAAAATATGTCGACATCTACTTATTTTATTCTAGCACGCTTATTTTGCCACAATCTCTTTTGCGCATCCAACGCAGGGCCACAAGAAATGGTGAAACAAATGAACCATGTAGACTGGATTGCTGCTCTCTAATTCTACCGTTTTTCGATTTGGGCTTCACCAATGTCTTCAATGAGGTTGGGAGACAGACTGTGTGCTATTGGATAGAGAGGTTCATCATACTAGAACAAAAATTCTGCAATTCATCACCAAAGTCCTCTGTTGAAACTGTTTGGTGGGCTGAAATAACTAACGAGGAAACTTTTAGATATAATCAAGCACACATTTACTTTGTAATCAATCCGCGATCACAATTTAGTAAAACAAAAAGGCCAAAAAATGGAAACAGTTTTTAAAGTTGTTTTACTCGGTCACCAATGAAATGCAATCCACCGAAGTGAAATCCGTGTGACTGGATTTTGTCCAAATCATGTGCCAGGTTCTCTTACAGCTCTTTATCCGCATACGAGTCATAGCTAGAGAGAACTAACTCACTTTCTGATTGGACCAAACCGAAATGCATCTGATCACGTCTGCAGTGGGCCAGTCTCCGAATAGTCACTGGCCTAACTTTTTTCTCTGCTCCGCCTTCAAATGGGTGAGCGTGGCTTGTGCAGTGAGCGCGAAGTGAGCGACAAACAAGACCAGTTGTGCAAGGCATAGCACAACTACCCCGATGTGAAATAGATCGTTGGTGATCACTTGTCTCCACGATCCGATTACTTGCGCACCGAAATAGTAGGCATACAATTCAAGCATTGCGGCAAACACATTCGCACAAATTGCGACCGCGTCTGCGATCAGAACAATGATCGCTATGGTGTTCGTCTGATAGCGCAGTAGGACTAGGCCAAGAATAATTGTGACCATGCTCACAATGCCCGCGCACACACCCGGAGCCGTATAGAGTGTGTTCACATAGCGTTGGATAATGAATGCATCCAGTGTGACACTGCCTGCCACTAGGATGAGACAAATCACGGAGATTATCAGCAACGCACACGGTCTGTTGATGAACGGTTTATGACGATACCCATCTGACGGACTGGGTGATTCCAATGATTCCGGTGGAAAAGGGAGTTCGGCGATCCAATTGGAAACAGTGTCCGCATTGGATATATGCTTGGAATCGGTCATTTACTTTGTGAAATCCTCGTGAACAACTGTGTGTGCGTGCGTGCGTGTGTGTGTGTGTGTGTGGGTGGGTGAGTATGGATTGGGGAGGAAACGTGGGCTATTTATTCACTCCAATTGTTGCCTTGTTCCGGTTGTCGGACCTTGGTGTAAAGGAATTCTCTACAGAGGAAAAACTGTCATTCAGACTTACTCCACTTGCGTGGATAGATTTATTCGCTTTTTTGCGTGAGAGACTTGATTTCACACTGGTTAAACAGCACGTGTGCGTGGTGCATGTGGGTGTATGTTCGACATCATGCGGTGCGCACTTTGCCACAGTGCCGATGAGGCAAATCAGTGTGTGTGTGGGTGTGTGTGACTTGGGCTTGATATGTCTGGTTTCCATTCTGCGTGCGCACGTACGTGCCAGAAGGTCACCTGAGGGCTTTAGCACGCACGCACACACGTGTGCGAGGTTAGTTGTTCACGCTAGGTGAAAAAGGCAACCTGACTGTCACATGGCAATTTTGATCGGTTGTGCTGAAAATGTTCGCGGAAAAAATCTCACTTCAGCCTGCGAAACAAGAGATGATTGATGATGAACGCATGCATCTGTTGACGATCTGTCGCCTAGAAAACCAATTCGCTTTACAAAGAGGAAATTCTCTGCACCTCGCATTATTTGTGCTTGCTGGGTATGCGCGAAACGAAGATCCTAAACATGCAGAATTCTATTTAAACAGCTCATTTATTGGGAAACAAAGTACAGAATTGAGGGATGAATTAAATATGCACTCATAAGTGTAGTGTCAATTCATTTCGTATCATAAGATTTTTGGTCTGCAATGACTGAGTCAGCATTCGAATCGACTGGTGCAGAGACTGTAGATGGCGAGAACGGGACATTTTGAATCGATTATGTCCTCCGAATATCCTTCAAACTATTCTTAAAGTGTACGTGACGATATACCTATTTAAAACTGAAGATATTAAAGAAGGCCTTTCAGATTGGCCTGGAAGACAGAAATAATAATAGGATAAAAATGATGATTGCATTTATAAACGACCTGCCATGTGTCCTTGAGTCGAATACACTACTATTTGCAAGTGACGCTAAAATCTGCAGAACAGCAACGCATCCAGAGGATTATATAACACTCCAATAAACGATCAATGCAGCCCACCGATGGTTACTAGCCAATGGCATTGAATAAAACTTTTCAAAATTCAAAACCACTTCCATGCAGCACAGTACTCGTTTCTTCTATGTTTTGGGGAACCAAATATTACTGCATGCCACCAGTGAAAGGGATTCGGGAGTTATGGTACAGGAGGACGTAGGATGTTCCACGCACTGTGTCAGAGCTTCATCCAGCAAGCTTCGTCTAAAGCAAGTTGGACTACCTAAACGTGCTTTCGGGCAGTTCGAAAAAGTACTGTTTCCACGCTTGCTATTAGCGTTCACCCGGTCACATACGGAGTACGCCGTTCAAGTATGGGCCCCGTGGTTGAACCATGACAACAAGGATCCAGAACGTCTGTAGAGGTTGGCAACAAAATTGGTAAAAGGTCTGTATAACAAGACATACTCCCAAAGACTGCAAATATTGGGGCTTTACTCACCTTAATATCGTCGACTTCGGGGGGGGGGGGGGGG